CTAAATTGAAATCTGCTGTCAAAATTAACACTGCTGCAATGACATACAGTTTGATGCTGTCAAAATAAAATTAACAACTTTTCTGGAGAAAAATTAAATGTTTAAATTAATCAACCAATCGATAAAATAGTCTACAGATTAATCCATAGAAAAATAGTCGTTAGTGGCAGCCCTATCCCTTGCTGTATTTGTCTGTTTTCAGTAATTTGTATTATTTTTTTATTTCCTTTTCTCTTTTCTTTTATTGCATTGAAGAGTAGCAGCACTCCTAGTTTCGTTGTGTTTTTAGTATAGAATGACAATAAAGCTTGTATTTTATTCTATTCATGCATGTGTAGGTGATTTCCATATTTGACTTAAATGCTGGTTGTGAGGCTCAATGGAACAGCCTTAACTTGCATATGGTTTATCAATGTTGATATGTCTTGGGAGGGTCGGTGTTGTAATGGCTTAAGTATTTAACCTGAATTACTTTAGTAAACACACACAGCAGTACACCTAAGAAACATGGTAAAGCACTTTGAGCATAGGCATCAAATAAAATAAATGAAGAAACAGGTTTCAGTGCAAGTTCTACTTTTCTAGTTTGCAGTTTAAGCTCGATAAATAAAAGGTTGTGGATCATCCTTAATCATCTGATCAAAATCACTTATTCGATCAAAGTAACTAGGCTGTCTTTGATGTCCAAGGTCTGTGATGGATCACTGTTAAACAACCTTTAAAGCACACGGTCCGGGCGGCGTCGGGGGATGGACACTAGCAGCCATCCAGCTCGGCTGCTCTGTCACACTTGCCAGGTGACACGGCGGTGGGTTATCGAGGTCAGGCGGTTGATCAGCTCACTCAGCACGCCTTTTACGTTATTATTATTGTAGCATGAATCAGCTGGGTCAACAAATACACGCATACACGGGCTACCTGGACCTGGTCATCGTGCTGCCTGGCTGGCTTAGCTAGTTAATGTCATTAACCCAAGACGACGACAACCCGGCGATAATCGGTCGCGACGTCGCACGCGACACGGTGTTAAACAACTTAAAGCCAGACAGCATTACTAAAAACGCTAGCACATCACACCGACCGTCCGTTTATGGTCTGTCAAACTGCCCAACAAGTTGGAAATGTCGATTAATAAACAAAAAAACTACTCTAACTGTATTACCAGCCTGCCGGTCTGCCGAGCGCCGTCCACAAATACAGCTGGCAAAACAGCGATAGGTGGCTAGGCCCGGACCGCCTTCTAACGTTCGCTCACCCTCCAGGAAAACCACATTTTAGCTAGTTCCTTCGAAACACGGCTTACTTAGCAAAATAAGATCTCGTTTTACAGTTGTTTTACAGTTGTTTTATACGCGCCCGCAAAAAACGTTACAAACTAAATAAACGTTTCCTCACCGTCTCTCGGCGCCGGTCTTGCTCAGGTAGAGAGCGACGGCTCACCCGAAAAACTCGCGAGAAACGGGACTTGCCTGAGGGCTAGTCCCGCAGACGCCTGCGCGTGTTCCTGACCCAGCCCCTTACAGTTCTAGCTGTCGCTTCGGGATCTGAGTCGACCGTGGATGAGACGTGCATGCGCCAGTGTTGAAAGCCAGATACAAAAGCAACTAAAAGATAAGTAAAAAGATAAGTAAAAAGAACGAAAAGTTAAGAATAACTAAAAGCAAGCCAAATACAACAAATCGTACACCTCCCTTCTGGCTCCCTTAATTTCCACCATCTGCATCGCAGATTTCCCCAACAACTTCACCAACTGCTATCTGCAGAAGTTCTCTTATGACTGAGCAATAGTTGGCCTCATCACCAATGCAGACGACAAGGAGTATAGAGAACCGACCCAGGACTTTGTGGATTGGTGCCAACAGAACCGCCTCCTGATAAATACTGGAAGGACCAAGGAGCTGGTGGTAGATTTCCCTTGGCACTGAGATCCGCCACTTAAACCCCTGAACATCCAGGAAATGGATATTGAGATAGTGGAATCCTACAAGTGCCTTGATGTTCATCTGAATAATAAACTGGACTGGTCTCACAACACAAATGCCCTCTACAGGAAAGGACCGAGCAGGTTGTATCTGCTGTGGAGACTCTGGTCTTTTGGAGTGCATGGGTAGCTCCTGAAGACCTTCTATGACTCTGTAGTGGTATCAGTCATCTTTTATGGTGTAGTCAGCTGGGGCAGCAGCATCAGAAGGAAGAACAGAAGGAAACTGAATAGGCTGATCCGGAGGGTCAGCTCTGTTGTAGGATGCCCCCTGGACCCAGTGGAGGTAATGAGTGACAGGAGAATGTTGGCTAAGCTGTCATTCCTATTGGATAACATCTACCACCTCATGCATGACACACTGACAGCACTGAGCAACTCCTTCAGTGATAGGCTGTGTGAAGGACAGATACCGCAGGTCTTTCCTTCCAGCTACTGTCAGACACCATAATAAACAACATCATACAGTTGACCGCATGCACATACACACACGCAAGCACACATAAAGGACTAAGTGCAATGATCTTTCATATATATAGGAGGCCGTGCAATGCTCCAATATTGCCATTCTGCTACTACGAAACATTAAACTCCTACTGCCAGTAGTTTTTGATCATACAGTTTCTGCTGCTTCAAGGCATCTGTTGATGTCCACTTTTGTACATATATGTATGTCATATATGTATATTTATTCTTGTTTTTTTGTATGGTTTTCTTGTATAGTTATGCTTTTGCCAATGTCAAGACAGACAATTAATCAGCCGTTTTATGAAAATGTATGCAAATACATGTGATGGGCCTTTCTTTAATTGATGTTACCCATGCTTTACTTATAACTGCTGACGTTGTTCTTTTAAGTAGTGCTGGTCATGAGTTTAAAGTCCATTTTAGAACGTTTAACCAAACAACTGATTAAACGGTGAAACTTTTCGTTGCGCACGCAGCAAAAAAATCTAAGAACCCATGGAAATTCCAGTATTCACTGTGGATGCATTCACCAACCAAGTTTTCAAAGGGAACCCCGCAGCAGTCTGTCTTTTACAAAATGTGAGTAAATGTTTACGGTGTTCAACATAAATATTTTGTTACAGTGAATGTTTCCCCTCAACTTACGAGATGCATCTCTCTAAAATATAGGAATTACAGGATCAGGTGTACCAGAAAATTGCAGCAGAGATGAACCTTTCCGAGACTGCTTTTATTTCCAGACTGAATGTTACAGATGACTTCGGCTCAGGTATCTCAGTTTCACTTGCAAATGTGAATGTAAACGCCCTGCATGTTTGCGAGAATACCCCACTGGCAAACGTAAAATTCCTAGATATATTTGTAAAACGACTCGGTGGCCTGACCCCGTTTTACATGTAACCCCCTTTCCTCGACAGCGGCACGATTTCGCCTGAGATGGTTCACTCCAAAAAATGAAATCGTCTTGTGCGGGCATGGCACCATCGCCTCGGCGGCCGTGCTTTTTTACCACAAAAGTAAGCGCTTGGATGAGCTATTCGCAAGTATTATCTGTATGTACAGGCAATGTAATCATTATGAATTACGCATCATGGAGACATATAAGGAGCCCTAAAATAGCTGATAAAAAATAAACCGTGAAGCTGAAAAAGGTTCGTGACATTGATTTTAGACACGTGGCACAACTGTATTTTAAAATCAATCGAGAAAACAAAGCTATAATTTAAAAATATCCTGTGCACCCATAATGTTTGTCATTCTGCTTGAAAGAAAACCATAACGCAGTCCTGACTTTTGAGACGCTTAGTGGGGAATTATACGTCAAAATGGACGGGGACGCCCTAGTGATGGACTTTCCCCAAAACAAGCCGACCATGCAGGTGGGTGGTGGGACTCAAAATGTTAAGATGCAGTACGTGATATTCGTTCAGTCAGTTAATTTAATCCCGGGCTTCAATTTTCAAGGTCATCACATTCTTGAAACTGTGAAATTCAAGTTAAATGTCTCAATCTGTACTTCTGCAAGTAAAATACTGTTTTAATTATAGTTAAGTTTGTATTTTTCCCTCAGGACCCAAATGAAGTAAAAGATCTTATTAAAGTAAGTGATCAAAAATGATCAATTATTAACCAATTAAATGTGTAATTCAGCCATAGTCATACCATGGTAACCATTGGACATTACAGGTTGCGTGTGAATGCAACAATACTGCTTTCAAAAATCTACTCTGAGTGGTTGTGCATTAGAGCTGAACATAATGTGATGAGCAGACGCTTACATACTTAGTCATGGCCTGGGTACATTGCCACAGGCTGCAGTTGGAGAACTGCCTGTGCAGGACGTGCAGTACTGCAGGGCCATCAGCAAGCTGCTCATACGCCTCAGTGACTCGTGTGACAGGTAAAAGTACACACCCACCCCGCGCTGTCCCAAAGTGCGCAATAACCAATACTGATCACACATTCCAGCCCTCTTTCACGGGTTTCCAGGGCAGCCTTGATGTCCCTGCAGCCAGACCCTGCCAGCCTCCTGCATGCAGGGTCCGACGGGAAGGTGAAGTCACTCATAGTCACCCTAAAGGGTGACCCAGCTGCTCAGCCAGCCTATGATTTTTTCTCAAGGAATTTTGCTCCCTGGCACGGAGTTCCTGAGGATCCTGTAACTGGTAAATATTGCTGAATTTCACAATGTGCCGTTTTCGGTCGTTAGTTAAGGTTATTGACATGTGGTTGTTTTCACCTGCCACTTCAAGGATCATCACACACTGTGCTAGCCAGCTACTGGGCAGCGGAATTGGGAAAGCAAAAGATGCTGGGTAAGAATGGCTAATGGTTGTTGCTGTTTAGCCCTTACTATATGAAACTGCTTACATTTGTATCTGGGTGTTCACCGGAAACTCAGCCTAGATGCCTTGTTGATATCTGCGTGAAGCTGCCCCCCATATGTTACTGATTAAAACCAAACTGGTCTCATTCATCAGTGTCGGTTTGTGCCAATGTGAAGTTGGCCCTCTATTTGCGTCTGATTTTGACCAAACTGATTGCAATCATTTGTGCTTTGTGGCGTTTTAAATTGTCTTTTGCACTGCTTTAATCTCTGAGATATAAACGTACGGGGATTGGACTTCTTGTTTGCCTGGGGGGTCACCAGCTGGGATCCCAAGGTGTTTCATCATGTTGTGGGTGTGGCAACACGCTGCACCAGTACATGCTCCCCAACCTGACCGGACCTGTGACACCAGCAGGAAGTAGGGCCCCCATTTGCGTTCGATTTTGATAAAACTGGTCTCAATAGTACGTGCCTTTTAAAAGTGTCTGTAGTTATTATTTGAGTTATACCTTTTGGTTTATGCCATTACATGATCATGATATAGTGCTCATGGGCTGGATGATATCATATTGATATTATATCGCGTGTGCACAGTAATCACCAGGGCTTCAGATGACGGGTGAAACATTTGGTTGGACACCAGCTTTTCGATACTATATGGACGTTTATTTACTCCCACAATTTGTTAAGCAGATTAGCAGTATGGTTAAAATATTACAGGCATTTTATTAAGCCTAAATTGATAATCAGTATAAATTGAGCATATATGATTAATAAATGTATTAGACTTTAAACTGCAAAAAGTACTGCCACATCACCAATGTGTTTTTTACTTTGTTTATCCACAACATCTCTTTTAAAAGATGTCATGGCTGCTGAGCTGTTCCTTGCTTCACCGCCACTTCAGTGTATATTGCACTGAAGTACAGTGGGTTGAAAAAGTATTCAACCCCCTCTGGAAAGCCACCCTGTTTCCATCATACATCATTACAATGCAAACATAAATGCAGAGTATCACATCAGTGAAGTTTTATTTCCCTATGTACATGTTTTGAAACATTTAGAGCTTGGTGTACTAAAGAAATGCAAATTGACAGTCATGTTTTGAAAAATGCTGTTGAAAAAGTAATTGACCCTTTCACGTGACACTTAATACACTTTTAGTATGGAACTGGCCATTGGAGGTGCACTCTTCTTTGCACAAATTCACCTCCTCCATGTCAATGGGTTTCAGTCTATCCTCTGCACTGTGCAAATCTGAAAAAGAGTACATCAGAACTGGCTGGCCAGATGCAGGTTCATCACTTGTTCTTGGCCTGATTCTGTGCGAGTTCCATGTGTGTAGAACTTCATAAAGCTCACCCTGCATGAAAAACAGATATATCACTGAAGTAAAAATTATATTAACAAAATCAGGGTCCTTAGACTAGAGATGGCCAAATGAAGCTTCATAAACCATTTGCTGTGTTGTCTGACTTTACTACATCAAGCTCTCTGCTCAAAAAAAGAGTGAAAAATAAGCCCCAGTTTGACCCTAATTTTAAAATATTTTTTTGTCCCATAAACGAATGTCACCTGTTCAACTTACCTCTGCATTGGTGTTTACAGTGCAAACGGTGCTTGCTACAAATGCTATTGCTAATGTTCCACCTGCTGGCACGATAATAAAACCAAGATTTACTTTTTTCACCTACCTTTTGCTCTTCCAAATGTGCAATGGCTTCCTCTGAAACTCCACGAATTCGCAGGAATGCTGCCAGTCCATTTTACACCAACACTGATATCTCCACTTGTACTTTTGCCCCTAAACTCGGTGTATTGCATGTGACCTGAGGTCTGCAGCCAGCCTCTGACTTTAACTTCAGGATTCTGACTTTTTTTCTTAGAGTTCTGACTTTTTTCAGTGTTCTGACATTTTTCTTGGAGTTCTGACTTTTCTCTCAGAATTCTCGGAAATTTATTTAATGTGGGCCTAATCCTATTCCGTATAAAAGGCACGCAAAATTTCATACATTCAAACTTTTATTTCCATGGGAAATGCCAGCATGAGCACTATACCACGATAATGTAATGGCATAAACCACGAAGGTATAACTCAGAAATAACAGTACAGACATTTTTAAGCACAAGCACAAACGATTGGTACCGTGACCATATAAAAAAACATTTATATCTCAGAAACTGAAACCGCACAAACGTGGCACAAACAAAACTGAGGCCAGTTTGGTCATATGGGGGGCCAAATTAATGTACGTTTTGTTAATTCCTTGACACCATGTATTGTTTTTGCAAGTCATTTTCCCCATTTCTCTGTCACTTTGGGGAAAGCATCTGCTAAATATGTAAATGTAATGGTCAGAATTTGGCAACCGTTCATTTAAAGTGTACAGTTTATCAATGAGAGAAAACTGATTTCTCAAGCCATGTATCGTTCGTTCTTTGAATTTTCTGTTTCAAAACCAAATCGGGAAAAAAAAAATTTTCTGTTTCAAAATCAGAACAGGAAAAGAAAAAAATAGGATAACAAAAAAACCGGCTTCATATTTAGTTTTTCTCTTTTAAAACCAAACAGAAACACTAAAATCTCAATTTGTTTTTTGTTTCATTTTTGGGATATCCAGGGGATGCTGGAGAATATAACATATACAAAACATTATTTTAATTACACATACAGTGCCAGCCAAAAGTTTGGAAATGCCTACCCATAGAAAGGTTTATTTGCACTATTCTCAACCCCACACAAGAACACTGCCACCACCATGCTTTACTGTTGGTACGTGCATTTTTCATTGTACTCCTTACCCTTGCGATGCCACAGTTTGGAACCCATCAGAGGCAAAAGGATTAATATTTGTCTTGTCACTCCAAAGTATGGAGTCCCAGTAGTCTTCACCTTTGTTAACATGGGCCCTGGAAAATTTTAGATGGGCTTTTTTGTGCATGGGCTTCAGCAGTGGCTTCCTTTGTGGACAACATCACCTGTGTGATGATTGATTAGATTCATTATCAGGTTTTTCCTCCTAAGACATTCATTGGGGTGTAATCATTTTGGCATCACCTTATTTGAATAAAATGTATATTTTTTCTTATTCTAAAGAAGAAAAGGTGATCATACTCTTATGTTGATACAAATAAATGTTTAATTAAACTGGTTTGTAAAAATACAACTAATTGTCCTCATAATCACTGAGAAATGGTTAAAAGTTTTAATTTCAAAGGGGGTGCACTCGTTTATACTGAGCACTGTACACGTTTGTCGACTTGTCTCGAACTGAAAATCTCACAGCAACCAGCTGACCAAAGTTGGGAATACTGCGTACATCTAAACCATATTGACATAAAACATGAACAAAAATGCATACTACCACCTGTCACGTTCGCTGGGGAGGCGATCCGGGAAGCAGGGATACGGAGGCAGGAAGTAGGGCAAACGGGGTTTATTGGAGAAAGACGGGACCGGGGAAGCACAACAGGTAACATTAATGACGAGTCTGGGGAAGACTGACTCAGACGAGGACTAAATACAAAAGACAAACTACGGGTAACGAGCCACAGGTGAGAACAATCGGGGAGAAACAGGAGGTAATGAGGTGGGTGTGGCACACATTAGGAGCGGACGGAGCGGGTTGTGACATAACCCCCCCCCAAAGGCGCGCACACCGGGCGCGCCCGAGAGGAGGCGACGGACGAGACGAGACCGGGGAACAGGACCTAGAAGACAAAAAGCAAAACCCATCAACAAAGGACCGGGAACAGGACAGAGACACAGAACAGGAACAAGGACGAAAAGAAAGACAAAGAACAGGAAACGCAGACAGGCAAACAGAGAAGGGGGACACAGAGGGAACACCCACAGGCGCCACGAAGGGGCCAGGAGTGAACAGAGGAGGACCAGAGGGACGAGGAACAGACACAGGCGGGACGAAAGGAGGAGGAGCAGAGAGGGGAGACCAGACAGGAACGGAAGGGGGACAAAGGGGAGCCCGAGGGAGCCCAGGCAGGCGACGGGCAGCGGCCGGAGGGGCCACAGGCGAGAGGGAGGAGGGAGCAGGAGGGGACAACCCAGGGGCCAAGGGAACGGGACGAGGGAGTGACGGAGGGGACACGGAGGGAGCAGGAGGGAACACCAGTGCAGGCAGGCAGGAGGGGAAAGCCGCGGCAGGCGGAGGCGCAGCCGAAGCTGGGGAAGGCGCCGTCCGACGCCCAGCCGGAGCAGGGGGACCCGGAGGCGGCCGACATGGAGCCGGAGGCGGGACCGAGGACCGGCAATGAGGAACCAAGGGGGGACCGGGAGGGGACCGCCGACCCCGAGCCGGAGGACCCGCAGGCAGCCACCGAGCCACAGCCAGGGGCTGAACGGGCGAGCCAGGGGGCAGGGAGGGCGGGACCCGGGCCCGACGCCTGTGTCCCCGTCCCTTGTGGGACACTGAAAGGCAGGGTCCCGGGGGGTGTCGGCCTTGTCGGGGCATGGGCGAGGGAGTCATTAGGGCTGGGGGAACTAGAGGCAGGGCCTCTGGTGCAGCCGGAGCCACGAGCTGGATGGGAGAGCCGGGCTGGACGGGAAGGACAGGCTGAATGGGAGAGACGGCCTCAGCCAGGGCCGCGGGCTGGACGGGAAGGACAGGCTGAATGGGAGAG